AGAGAGAGAGAGAGAAAGAGAAAGAAAGAGTGAGGGGGAGACGGAGAGAGACACAGAGAGAGGGAGACAGAGAGACAGAGAGACAGAGAGAGACAGAGAGACAGACAGACAGAGACAGACAAAGAGAGAGAGAGACAGAGAGACAGAGAGACAGAGAGAGAGAGAGAGAGAGAGAGAGAGAGAGAGAGAGAGATAAACCTGGATGCATCAATGGAATTAAAGATTGGTGGACTGATGGATATGTGGATGGATGGATTGATGGAGAGAACTAAATGACAGACTCTTACTAGATCTAGTTGATATTATCATCTGCACAGTTCGAGAAGGCTATTTTGTCATAGAGTGATACAAATGTTGCCCTGCACATATTGTAGGAGATAGTCCACACAAACCAAAAAAAGTTAGTTTCTCAGTTCTCAAATACAATGTACTTTTTTTAAACACTTTATTTGAACAATCGAAATACAGTCATTATGTTTATACTTTGTAAAAGGAATATGGACTTGAGGGGAATATTTTGCTAGGCAACATGTACAATTGTCAAGATCTATCATTTATACATCACATTCCAGAAAATCTAACTAGACTTCAACAGAGGGGTAACTTTTTTGTTTGTTAAAAAAAACCCAAAAAGCATGTTCAGTTCATACCCTTTTGTGACCTGACTGCCAAATTGTCGTGAAACTCCCGACAGGTCACGTGAGAGTACTCTATGCTGGACTGGTCGGTAACATTGCCAGATTTTTCTACATCTCACTGCTATGGAAGCCGTGGTGGGTATTGCCTTTCGAGTTTGTTCAAGGTAAGTCATTATAAAGTGTTAGTAGTTCTAAAAACGGCGTCGGCTAATCCAAATTTAGATTGACCTTTTCGTGGTGGCATGATCAGGTACGAAATTGTCCGAAATTTCATAAGGATCCCATTGATTATGGAATACCTAAAACATCAAAGGATCAAGTGGTTCGGTCATCTAGTGAAAATTTCACCAAATCAACCAGCTGCACGAGCAAACAACTTATAAGAGTCAGAATACAAGGAACCACGCAAAGCGTGGCTGGATGGCGTTAAAGAGGTCCTCCAAAAGAATAACATTTCAACAAAAGAAGCCACCCACTTTGCCCGTGATCGAAAACTGCACCTCCCTCGACATCTAACAATACAAAATGAAGTATATAAAGTAAAGTAAATGATCTGGTAATAATTTGGCTCCACGGGCCAATCTCTTGATCGGCACTTATGTGACCTGGTGTGTTTTCATGTGCAGCAAAACTCTTACTAAAAACTGAACAATCAATTGAAACTGTGTAATAATCATATAGACGTGTTGCTTTATTGATTTTAATTGTGCCGAGCCACTTACTGACTGCCTGCCTGAAAACTAAATAAAAGAGCCCTTGTGTGAGTTCGTTCTTTCTATTATATCTACAGCGATACCTTTAGTTTTATTTTCATGCAGTCTCTCCTGAAGAAGCTCTAGAGGATGAACTTTCAGCTATTTCAGTAACTCCCCCCCTCCCACCTTCCT